AACATGACTTTAAACTGGTTTTCCTTTTCTCCTACACTGTTTACATACTGATCACTGCTGCACTTTATAAATGCTAATGTTCATTCCACTGTTGCAAGCTGCTAATTCACTGTTGAAAAACTGAATGCATCTAAATATTGTTTCGTATACACCGTGTATACAAAATGACAAAAAATATTGTCTAAGTCTAAGTCCAAAGGCTTGTTTATACTCAGAAACCAGGTCGTCTGTGTGTGTGTGGCAGTTAATGCAGATATGCCCCGTCCCTTCCACAGACACGCTGGTGCACCTCTCATAAATTGTAGGTGACCGCAGACAGGAGGCCTCTGATTGGTCAAATCTACATACGCTCTACAATATACGTATTTCCTGTTTGGTACCTTACCGGCTCGTCTTGTTTGTATTGTGGAAAACGACTGGTGAAAATGGACCAACTAGAAGAGCGAAGTGCGCAAGAACGCTGGGACCCTTTTTCCACATAGATCCCTGCTGTTTTTCGCCCTCATGTCCCTCTGTTGTCTGACAAACCTTCCCCCACTTCCTTACCGCCTTGGTCGTATCTAGACCTAAAGCTAGTTCCTGATTGTCCCTCTAGCATTGTGGCGTGGAATAACATAGCGCAGACCACGCTTCAATATTGGGCATAAATCAAAAATATCTGTGCCATACCTGCGTAAGCTCACTGCGACACACTGCTGTGGGAGCAAACCAGCCCTTAACCTTACTCACTTAAATTATTATACTATTTATCTTCATAAAGGTTCACATTAGTTTTTATTTGTCGTTTCAATTCCATAGAGCAATGAAACCAAATCATCTGACATCTCACTTTAAAGACTATAATAGTGGAACATACCAAATTAGGGCAATTAATATCTTTCTCCTGCTGTGAGAGAAATTAGCTCCACTGTGTTGAATAATAGCTGAGTAACCTTATTTGATTGCAGGACTTGATCCACTGATTCTCACCCAGATTTATTCAAGTTCTGCATCACTTTAGGTTTGAAAGACAGGACAGTTTTATGAGGGGAAAAGTTAACTTTCTTCTTCTTCTATTAAAATGTTAGTCAGCAGCTCAGCAGATATTAAAAAGATGCTGTTAGGCCACTTTTCCAACAGAGAGGGATTTGTTTTTCATCCCGTGTGGAAAATACTTAAACTGACTGGATTACTATTTCTTAATTAGAATAAATCCTAATTAGTTTATGTGACTGAAATGTTAAAATGACCAAGTGAAGTTATTGGGTGAAAGGAGGTCTAATCATGATAAGAGTTACTAAGCCCACTTTAGGGTTATTACATTCAAACTAATTTAGGAGGCGTTTTGGAACAAACATGGCTGGCAGGCCCACTGCTTGTTTCCCACTTCATTGCATGCAATGGCACAAGCAGCTGCTGTTCTGGAGTGACGCACCGCATCCAGGGCGACCATCTGACCGACTCAAACCATCTGCTGGCAATCTATTACCAGCATGCTCGTTTAAAAGGATGGATTTTCAGTTCAAACTTCTGTGAAAACGATGTTTTGAGAACACTCTCTACAGAAGAGCCATCATTACCCGCAGGTTCCCTTCCGGTACAGCGAGCCCTGCCCATTGCTTTACAGCCGATTGGTCTTTGCAGCATGCATGATTAGTAACGACCATGGGCTACTGGGTAGTGAGAAAACAAATGAGTAAAGCCGGCAGAAATAAGATTCGTTTTTCTGTCCTGAAGCAACAGCTTGACACAGACGGTTATCTGTCTGACGTGTCGCTCGCAATAAAGCTGTGTAATCTTGTTGGAGCCTTACAGAAGATTAAATCACAGAGATTTGTTGATGTGAGGAACTTTGAGCACCCCAGGATGACAGGAAGAAAGCAGCTAATTTACAGCAGTTACAGAAGGAGGGGAAATGTGAAAAAGAGGTTAAAATGTGTTACCTTGGATCGGGTCTTGAAGGTCCTGAATGCGCCTGATTTAAAAATGACTCGGTTCCTTTTACACAGGATGAAGGCCACCATTCCAATCACCACCATTAATAAGAAGAGAGGTGTGAGAACAGCCATGATCCACAGGTTGCCTGGTGGCGTCTTTACCACGGCTGCATGCAGAGACAGGTGGAAAAAAACAAATTAAATCACGATAAAAAAGATCAAATCTGTACAAAAAAAAAAGTTTTTCACAGTATGATTAATGAATAAATTTTTTTAGGAATATCCCAAGCCTTAATTACTTAGTTTAATTAATAAGTTTGTTATTTCCTAACCTTTTATATTTGTTACAACCAACAGTGTTAGGAATTCAGATAATGCAGCTGCTGGATAAGAGGTTGCTTTAAAAATAAGTTTATACTTTTACCCACATACTTTTATACTTCACTGTTGAACTTCTTTTGATTGTTTTTTTCCATTGTGTTTATCTATGTATTTCCTTTTTTATATAACTTTTTTTTTAGAATACATAAAAAAATAAAACAAAACCATTAGTTGACTGTAAATTTGCATGGAAATGGAAATTAAAATGTCTGCATGCTGAACTTTATGAGTCAGATTCATGTTTTCCAGACAACCATGGTGTAAACACGCTGATAAAAGTGCGCAAGTCTCCCAAGTTTATCTTTTTGGAGTTTAAAGTTTTTATATCTGTAACTCAATGTTCATTTAAAAGACTCAGAACTTTGTGAACAAAATGTTTTCAGGTATTTTAAGTCAAGGAGAAGTGAAACTCAGCTAAATTAAACACTTTTAACAGTTTAGAAGCAACATTTTCTTCAGTTGGTCTATAAGCCAATGGTAGGAGCAGGTGTTTTCATTGAAGGCAGACATTTAGCTGGCTTCCTCACAGCCCATAAAGATAAACTAAATGACATTTACTGAGAACACTGTTCTCTCTTCTCAGCATAAACACTTTTCAGGAAGAGCTCTGTGAGCTCCAACAAATCCAATCAGCTCTTCAGTTCATAAAATGTTCTGACGTTTCTGAGAAAACAAGTTATAAGAAATCACAAGTCAAGGGGAGAGAACACTCTTTCCTCTGGAGCTACAAAACATACTAATCCACAGATAGTGCAAGAGAATACTGTTAATATCAATGGGCTTAAAAAAGAATTTTGTTTAGATGAACTTACAGTATTTAAACAGTAAATCTTTCAGCTGTCTGCTGCCTGTAAAGTTCTGTCTGTAATAATTATAAAATATACCAAAAAAAATTAAATTTTTTATTACCATAATAAAAATCTTTACAGACAATAGCAGTAGGTAGTGAATTCATGTGTCTGACCAGAACATAAATAAAAGACTGCGTCCGTTCCCCCTAGCAACAATTCATAAATAATGCTTTAATGAAGACCAACGGTCTCAATCTTGTTAAATAAGACTTTTTTTTCCAGCTAACATGGATTCAAAATATTCACTGCTACTTTAATGCCTTTGTGTCACAAGGCTTTTGAACCCAATATTCATTCAGAAGCCCTAGAGTAATATGTTTTGTTTTTCCCAAGAATTCAAGTAGATAGGCTTCAAGAGAAAAATGACATAAAAAATTATCATTTATGATTACTTTATGTCAAAAAAAACAACTTTGGAGGACGTGATTTTTTTCTCATTTAAAGTTTTTTTCATGCTAAACATGAAACCTGGAACCTAGTGTTGGTTGGTTTTGTTTTTGCTGAAAATATGTATAATTAATGAAATTAAAATCATAATTAAAAGCTTAAGCCACACCCTTTTTTCTCCACCATACAGTGCGTATACACTTCATGTTTGTGTGTGTTTTTTATGATACCTTTCTTCTGTGAAAGAGGTATAAAAATGTTAGAATATAGTGAACTATATCCCTAGTTCAGTCTTTAAAGTTAATTAGAGAAAGGGAGCAGGTGTTAGTCAGTGGGCGGGGCTAACTTTGACCACAGAAGTCTGGAAAGCTCCGACTTACATGCAGCTCACTCCGGTTATGTAACTTCTGATCTAATTTTTTTCCATTTCACACCAACTGCGTAAAGAGAAGCTCCGACTGCATAGGGTGAGCAGAACTGTGATATCTTTTCACCTCTGACTGTGCCACACAAATTTCACACAAATGACTTGGAAAAGATTATGAGACGTTATTAAAAGTAAATAAATCAAAATAAAAAAACAACGGCGCAGATATGTCTGTTCAGCATCTATTCTAAACTAGAACAGCGAATTCTTATAGGTCTATATTGAAACATAATAACAACTACGTATAAAGAAAGGGAACGTTCAGCAAAAAACGCTGTGGGATGTGGACTGAAGCCTCTCCCATTGAAAATTACGCATGTTTTTCAAACATGGGTCGACCCGCTAACAATCGCCACTTGGCTCCCTTCCAATTGACAAAAAAGCTGGGGCTAACCCCCTGCTGGCAAGCTGTGTGGCCTCTACCCCTCCGCAGCTGCGTGTCTGATGACGCTGGGTTAGGGTTGATGTCACCAGTACGACAAAAATCAGGAAAGTAAACAATGGAGAGCAAAATGTAAGGAAGCCAGGGCATAGTAAGAGTGCTTTATTGTTTCGCTCTTTTGTCCGTCCAAATCCCTCTCACCAGTGCTGTATCATATTATCGAATGTAAACAGAGTTGTTTCGGCTTGTTAGCTCAGACATGGGTGTGTTGACATACGTGCTTTGCATTTAATGGTGTCATGTAATTCATTGGCTCTAGTGTGTTCCCACAAAATGCCGATCAGAGCCTAGGTGATATTAATGCGGCATGCTTGCCGAGTCGTTTGACCTGGGTAGACATGCGTCAGGGAGCTGTTGCCACTTTCACTAAAATCCAATTGTTGCCGGGTTAAAAGGAGTTTTTCCGTCAGTGGGAAAGGGGTATTAGGCACAGGTTTTTGGGTGTTTTTTTCCATATAGAAGAGAGCGTGATAGCTGCTCTTTCCTCTACTGCCCCTCACTGTTTTCACAAGGCTCAAAAAGAATTACATTTTATGACTTCTGTCCTGAAGAACTTCATAGATTGTTTTAGGAACCCTGTTTTTCTTACTCTTTTACCATGTCTCCTGCGTTTTACCATCTCTGCCTTCTATATACATGAATAACAATCACACATAACAGTGACGGTACAGTCAGAGGCTTACGTTCAGCTTGCACTTGCACAAAGTATCCCAGCGTCAGAGCCATGGTCTGCGAGTCCAGACTGCTGAGGGTCTTCGCCGCTGCCGTTCCTGTGATGGGTAAGCCATTCAGCTGGGCGTAGTAAGTCATCTCTGCCGGGTTTTTGGGACCTGGAAGCCGTCTCATGCTTACCATCTAAGGACATAGTTATATGCTATATTTAGAGAGATTTTATTCTTGTTAAGCACCAGGAAAACATAATCTGTAGGCAGTAAAAGACAGAATCCCTTATCTTGCCACAGCAAAAGATGGCTGAGTCTGTGGCCCAATCTCTCTAGCTTTGATCAAGTCCAGCATTGGCTGGGAGATGAATGCATTAACTGAAGATACTCCAGGATAAACGAGTCACATGAAATCTCAATTTCCTTTCATCATACATCAAAGATCTTTTTTTTCAAACATTACACAGCTTTAATTAAGTTGAACAGTTGGAGTTCGTAGCAAAAGAAAAGAGATGTTTTATCTCTGAGAGACTGTCCCTTCTCCACTCTGCAGCCATAGAACCGGTCATCTGTGAAGACCATAAAGCCTCGGGGGTCTGTATTGCATGTGGGCCACGAGGAATGACACGTCATGTGAATTTGAACAATCTGGAGCGCTGAGTGAGAAGGCGACAATCAAAAAAAAAAAAGAAAAAACTTGCCACAGATGTTTCTTAGCTCATTAGCATTTCCAATCTAGAGGAGATCCTTCCAACATCTTCCTCTGCTGCAACAATTTCATTTTACAGCTGTAGAGTTAAATTAATTCAAATTAAATCGCTTTCAATCCATTTTTTTATTAAAAGTAGTTGGCTACATTGTTGCATAAACATTGGTTGTAAAACACATCAGCTCTCTTTGTATAGAATTTCTTATAACACTGTGTTTCCTGGGAGCGACTGATCGCTTCATTCATCTGGAGATCTGCATTAAAATCTTTTTAGAACTTGCTAACAACAGTTAGTGCCAAAGCAAAAAATATTAGAAAAAGAAAAAGCATTTGCAAAATGACTGAGATGTGTGGATTTATCACCCTGATTTAACACCTAATTGCTTCCCTACATCAGGTGCTAAGCAGAGTTAGATCATTAAAAGACAGTGATGTCATAACGGCTTCCCTTCTTACAGTTTTCTTTCATGTTTGCTATTTTATAAGCTTTCAATTTTTTAGATCATCAAATGAATTTCAATGAAAGACAAAAATAGCCTTGATAAAATACTAAAATGAATTTTGAAGTAACGTTTTTCTCTATAAAGATAAAAGACTTCAGTTTCCTGTTTTCTCCATATAGCTACAATACTCTTCAAAGATGCATTTTAATCAATCGGTGAAGTTTTAGAAGATGCACCTCTACAAAACTTTTTACCCTAGTTATCTTAATTACACGTACATAAAAATTATTTTTCAGGTCAATATTCAGCCCTTGATGCGTAGCGATGCTCCATGTGAGCTCGGCTATGTAACTTGACTCACTAAATGAGTCATGTCATGAAAATAAGGGACGATTCTTAATTTTATTTAAAAGGTAGTAACCCCTTGTGCAGTGTTGACAGCAGGGGCGGAGCTAGAAGGAAGCCAACCAATGAAGGCCCCTCGCCTGGGTGATTTGCTGTTCCCATAGGAACCTACTTCACCACATCAGCAACTAGCAGTTCCTCTCTAAACCAGAGGTTGGCAGCACTGATACTCTCAAGGTGGAATGTCGTAACCAATTTGAATTTTTACACTGTTCGTTAATTAACTATAAAGTGACAAATACAGTTCATTAATTAAATAATCTTTCATATTAATATACTAACATTAAATAAGGCCAAAGAAAACTAAAGCTCTTTTCAGAACTATGTTTTTTTCTTTATGGGGATGAAGGGAAAGTTATGAGTCTCATCATCAAGTGGTCTTCTATGAATTTACAGATATTGAAACAACAGCTCAGTCTGTTTAACATATATTTTATTTAGAACCACAATTAATTTAGATAACACAAATCTTTAAATATGTGTGTAGATTTATTAGCAAGGGCTGCATGAAAATCTAGCCTTCATTGATTTATTTAGGAAATACGGATGATTTTCTTGTTAATTTTCAATTGTATATGTAGGATCAGTGTAAACTGACCTTAAATAGATTTTTGCACGGATCACTTTGACCACCACTCCGCGGTAGACATTGTTCTCTGCTGGGCCACTACCATGAACATGTTCTGACTAACTGGTTAGTCAAAATAAAGTGAAAGTTATGCTACCTTTAGACCGCAAGCAGCAGAAGCAGCAAAAACGTGCGAGCTGCTTTATTTTTGATGCTTGTTTAAGTTTAGTTCTGATGCGTGGCTGAAGCATCTTTGGTGCTCTAGCTGCATTGTCGAAAACTGGGTCTGATGCGTGTTGGGCGGAGCTACCCTATCCTTTCTTTGCCTGCAACAATGGCAGCTATATTTTCTGTGATCAGTGGGTAAAAGTAGTTTTAATATTTTTTTAATATGTTCATGAGGCGCTGCACCTTGATCAGAGCATGTGAGCGGAGCATGGAGCGAGAAGAAGAAGAAATATGATGCAGCACAGAGCGGTTTTCAATTCAAAGCCCAGAACGAGGATTTCGCCCCACTCCAGTTCGTTCCGATGGACTCACAATGTCAATTAAAAATGTTGGATTATAAAATTCGTAAAATAACATTTATTTGATTAAATGTAGTCTAGTAAAATAAATTAATAATTAAATAGGAAACGCGGGGCAACATGAATGGAGCGAGGTTTTACATTGTCAGCTGGGAAATGATCATGTAACAGCCTGTGAAATAAGACAATACACATGTATCGGTAACATCATTAAATCAAACGCCGTGTGTCCCAGGACCCTGGCTTAATTACATGAAGGAAAACTGTCAGAAAATTCCTTCTCCTAAAAATTTGAGCGAGTGTGGAGCGATTTTGCCGGAGCAGCAGGAAAATTAAGTGAGGGCAGAGCGGATTTTCAGAGGAGCTTCCTCCTGAGTGGGGAGCGGGAATTGTGCAGCGCTCCGCTCAGTTTACAAGCTCTGGCCTTGATGTGCGTCAACCATTGACTTTGTATCTAAACTAGCTGCTTCTGCTGCCTCTGCTGCTTGTGGTCTGAATGTAGCATTACAGTTCTAGCACCCCTAGTGGCTGAACATTACAGTTTTGCTTTAAAGGAATGAGAGCGATACCAAAGAAGAGGCGTTCGGGAAAACAAAACATATAAGAACTAATGCCTCGTATCGACTTGTTGTTCATGGTGGTGAGGGGGCGATGAATTGGGCATTCCTTTCACATTGTTGTAAAAGGATACAAAGCAGTTAGAAGCAAATAAAACATCATAATTACACAGATAATTACAATTACAGCTGAGGCAGATGGCAATACTTTAAAGCAGGGCATCATTTGATGAATGTTGGAAGTGAAACTTAAATTTAAATGTAGAACTTTGACCAAACTGGTATAAATATAAAAAGTGGTGCAGCTTAAATGGAGATCTGAACAATAAAACTAACTCAGTTGCAGTAACTATCCTTAATGCCGTCTTTACTTCTTGATGTTGGCATCTTCACAAACAGACATATCAATTTCCTCCAACCTGCACGGTGTAGCCGCCCACAGTGGTGGCCCGCCGGGACCTCATGGACCGAGAGCCCTGCCTGCCAGCCACCAGGAAAAGCTCAGCCAGGCGCTGCTCCATGAGGCTGGCGAAGCTCTGGTAGTTAGCCTCCAGGGAGGAGCTGTCCACATCCTGGATCACTGAGCAAGGAGACAGGAAACGACAGGCAGATTTATGGGAGAGAAGAGGTGTTCAGGCAGATAAAAAGAAGCCAAACAAGAGATGGACGAGGAGATGAATGAAGGGTTGGGAAAAAAAATACAGTGACAAAGCAAAAGAAAATGGGCCAAGAAGGAAAGTTTGAAGAAAGACAAAAAAAAGTCAGTGAAGTCAGAGATATGTAAGGAGTACGACAATAGAGATGATGGATGATCTTACTCCTGAGAGCCTTCTTTACAACGGGCCATAAGTGAGATGGATCAGTGGACAGACATCCCATACACATTCACTCACACACAGCAGCATCATTCACAGCCATCCCTGATGTGATGTGAAGTGATCTCTCCCTCTGCCCCAGTCAGGAAGCTGTGAATTATACATCAATAGGTTTATCCCAGGAACAGAGCAGCTAAAGTGACTCTGAGCAGAGAGACCAGGAAGAAAAATGGATGGAGGGACAGAAAAAGCTCATCATGCATAGAAACATCCTCAGCAGCATGAAAAAGGCATCTTAGCAACTGCTGTTTAATCCAGTCACTGCTGAATCTGTGAGCATGTTGAGGAGAAGATTACCTGTGATCACCCAGTAGTTCCTGGTTGCTGTAGAAGTGTTGAGATTGTGGTATTCAAGAGCTGGTGACACACAGAGAGACAAACAAAGGAAAATCTTAGTTACTGTCCGACCCGCAGCCTAACCCACCTTCACTTGGTTTAGCTCATTTTTAGGTAGGGTCAGAGATGGGAAGTAACGAAGTACAAATACTTCGTTACTGTACTCAAGTAGATTTTTCTGATATTTTTACTTTACTTTACTACTTATTTTTATGGCGACTTTTTACTTCTACTCCTTACATTTTAAAAAATTGGCTCGTAACTTTAGTTTTGAATCATTTCAATGGAGTTACCGTTATTATTTTTGACGTCATCAATACCAAATTCAATCTAATTGGATGGGAATCTACGTTGCATTTGACGCACCACTACAAGATGAATCGACAGATTCGGCGGTATTCATTGGCGGCAAATCATTGCAGCTTGGTGGCGGTGGCGTTAGCATAGTAGCATGGACGACGAGATGATTGAAAATGAACACAACGGAGATCTAGTCCTATTGGCAGACATCCATTTAAAATGTAGGCAACGGCATGAAAAAAGTGGTTTCTACTTTTACTTTTATACTTTAAGTAAATTTACAAGCCTGTACTTTGTTACTTTTACTTGAGTAAAGAAGTTTAATCAGTACTTCCACTTTTACCAGAGTATTTTTTAACACAAGTATCTGTACTTTTACTCAAGTATGGAAAGTGAGTACTTTTGCCATCTCTGGGTAGGGTTTTGCAAAAAAAATTGTTTTGGCGATATATCATGATTTTTGGCTGCCCGGTATAATATCAATCTTACAGTGATGAAAAACAATGATGATAAATTGACTCTGCACCGATACTGGCAGAGCTGTGGAGCCCTTTCATGCTTTGTTCAGACCGCACGCTGCTGAAGCAGCAGAAGCAGCTAATTTACATGCAAAGTCAATGGTTAACGGAAATCAAGGCGCAGCAAAAGGTCCCACACCACGTTTTGAGCAGCAGGAGCAGCACATCAAGAGCATCTGAGCATCTGACGCGCTGCAAAACCAGAAGCTGCCGAATTGGAAAAATGTAACTTTTGCTTCTGGATGCGCCAGATCAACCAATCAGAGAAGCTGATCTGGGAGACAGACACAGCACTGCAGAAGCAGGGCGCTATGATCACTCCTCTGAAACAGTTCATTAACGCCTGAATGAACTTTTCAGGTGTTAATTTTATTATTCTGCCATTGTTACAAGCAAAGAAATGGTAGGTCCACCCAACGCGACCCACTTTTCGACTGCGCAGCTAGAGTAGCAAAGATGCTTCAGCCACGCATCAGAACTAAACTTGAACAAGGATCAAAAATAAGGCAGCACGCGCGTTTTTGCTGCTCCTGCTGCTTGCGGTGTGAACGTAGCATTACTGTGCGGTGCAGCGCCATCTGTAGTGTAGGCAGTTACAGTGGAAGAAAAGAAATCAAATCCCAAACATGGATACCAAAAAAAGTAAAAGATCAGTATCTTCTGATGAACATAATCGGGACTTGTTTTTTTTTTTATTTATAGATTTCATTTAAATGGAAAAACTATAGCAATATATAATGACATTGCAATATTATGATAATATCGTATTGTGACAAGTATACTTCCTATCCATATTTTTAGGATTGGTTTTTGAGGTCCTATACTGATCTAAAAAAAAAAGAGAAGTTTCATGTGAATCATTAGAAAAGTTTATAGGCAAGCAAAACTTTAAAATATATGTATTTTCAGAAAACAATTACTCAAGGAGGGTAAAATGACAGAATAACAGGTTCCTATAATGGAAAAAAAGAAAACCTTCAGTCCTGTACTTTGCTTTTCTTGGTTTAAAACCTATTAAATGAATGAAAGCATAACAAGAGAAGGGGGGAAACACAGAAAACCAAGAAACCAGCTGACAACATTTAAGAAGATGCCTGAAGATATTTAAATAAATAACCTGGTTTAATTTAGAAAATTGTTTGTATGTATAAATCTGTAGAAAAACAAAAAAAAAAAAAGGCTAAAAAAGAATATCTGCGTTTCTCAGATCGGATAAGGTCCCTTATTTCATCTATACAGTCAGAACCATTAATAAAAAACTGGCATGAATCAACTTTTCCATTCCTCCTAGGTGTATCCAGGACTGTCACTAAAATACAAGGCCAGCTAAAACAAGACCTGCTCCAATTCCTTTGCTTTATTACCAGAAAATAAAGCTGTAGAAAGTCTGCAGAAACTACCAGTTCACTGGGGAAGCTTCCTTCTTCACTAACAAGAGGAAACAGTTGACTCCTGGATTTATTAACTGCAATAAAGCTTTTCAGGGTTTAAAAAAAAAAAAAAAAAGGATACAGTACTTTCAATCGTGCGGAGCATCCACAACATCCACTCTGTCACCGCCTGCCTTACTGGGAGGGTAACTGGAGATATTTTCCCTATGGTTCAAGAATAATGTTTAAAATCTAAGAGAGATAAAAGAAAAGAAGAACTTCCTCAGTAATTATATTGTTGGTGTATGTTGTTATTTGATGACTGTTAGTATCATTTGCAGCAGTACAAGAAAAAGGGACTTGGCTATAAACTGTTTTCTATAGAACACATTATTTCCATTTAAAACTTAGTTTAAAAGTTGCTTTTTATTCTATAATTCGTTTATAAGTATCAGAAAACTACAAGCTTGTGTGAAGCATCACTGGCTGCTTTTGACCTAAATTTTTTTCTCCTGTCCACTTTTTATATTCAGCCTGTTTATTACCTAAAATACCTGTTCCCTCACATCCAATCATCCATCTCCTTGTGTCACACAAACCATCATAACCTCTGACTTTCAGCTTCATTCTGATTCTGTTTATCTTCTAACGTTCTCCTCTGTCTCCAGCCAACTATAAGTCAGTGGAAACGGCATGCAAGTTCCTTAACCAGCATATGCATTTGCTTTTAATTGCCTTCCAGAGACAGGTAAACTATATGAGAACACATTTACGTTAACTGGGCTCTCCACTTAACTTAATAGAGCTCATATAAGCACTAGAGACAAACGGCACTGGAGTGTGAAGGTTGAGAGCCCTTCGTTTTGCTCTTCAAAGAATCTGTGCAACGAGCAGATGAATCTGCTGCATTCGTTTTATCCCGCAGTTGTTGGAAACTTAATTGCATTATGCAAAAAGGAAGAATGAAACGAAGAGGAAAGAAAAGAAAATGTCCTGCTCAGTCAGAAAGTAAAATTAAAAACACAAGTTAAATCATTGTTTTATTTTTATTTTTAGTCGAGGTTTTAGATAAAATAATAATAATATAGTTATAATAATTAAGAAAGAATTTAGCACAAAAAAATGGCTGGAACAAAACACCAGCAAATTATTTATTTGAGAATTTGACATCTATACTCCAGTAAATCATCCTGTTTCCACACAAAGTTTATCTAAAACATAACAACATCCTGTTGACGGATTATTTTGTATTTTTGTGTTTTACGTTTTATTTGCTTAATTTTGAGCAAAGAAAGAGTCCTTGCTTTATGCATTATATATTTGCAAAAACAAAGGAGATACGATACATGTGCAATATCATACTGCACATGTGCACAAGGTAAAAACAAGGAAGTAGCCGTACCAAGGCCATTAGCACCTCCCAGCACAGTATTAAAATAATGAAAAAAAGCAACAACAACAAAAAAATGATCTAATTCCAAGAGGGATGAGATGGGAACAATGCATGGAATACAGTATGAATGCACTGGAAAAAATCCAAATCTAGATAAGTCATTTTTTTCTTGAAATAGGTGCATTTGTTCTTGATTGAGGAGGTAAAAGAGACATTTTGTCAATGGAACAAGACAATTTACCCTTTAAATAGGAAAACACAATTGCATTGTCTAATTTCAAGTGTATATTATCTAATTATCTCATTTTAAGAGTAAAAATACTCAACTTACCTACTCAAATTAAGGGTAAATACACTTTATTTAGGAAATTTTACCTTATCTCTAGATTGTTTTTCCAATGTGTTGGTGTTTGAAAACTTCAAACTCTTGTGGAATGTCAAAAAAGCTAGTTTTAATAACGTAATATCTTAAAACAAGATTTTTTTCAAGACTGTATCACTTATCAAGATTTTCTAGTTGTATTGTCTTGAAAGAAGTTAATATATCTAACTTAAATATATCTCCCTAGAAGGTTTTGTATTACGTGTGATAAGAGGTTTTGACTTGATATGACAGTAATACACTTGATAAGATTTTGTGTTTTTTCCAGTGTACTGAAGCGGAAGCTAGAGATGTGATCAGATGTAGCTGCTAAGTTGAGAGTTGTGTGGTTTTTCTCACATGGGTCGACCTGCTAACAATCGGCATTAGGCCCGCTTCCCATTCGGGAAAAAAAGCTGGGTCTGACCCCCCGCTGGCAAGCTGCGTGACCTCTGTCCCCCAACGCTACATGTCTGGTGACGCCATCAGCCTGGGCTAGCGTTGATGATGTCATCGGTACAACAGATATCAGGAAAGTAAGCAATGGAAGGGAGTCAGGATGCAGTCAGTATTCTTTATAGTAGAGCTGCAACTAACAGTTATTTTACAAATCGATTAATCTGTAAATATTTTTCTGATTAATAATCGGGCAGCAAAACTTTCCTTAATGAAAACTTTTTGGGAAAACCAGGTGAAACTAAAACTTTTGCACTTGCGGAGTTCTGCATAGAGCATATTTACAAATGAACAAGCTTTTTATATTTTAAATGCAAAATGTTTATATATTTTTTACAATTTTGATATAATTACTGCTCTAATTGGGTTTCTCTGTCAGCTAAAGGCATGTTTTAGAGTCTCTATACCCCAGTTAATGATTAATCAATTACTAAATTAGATGACCATTACTTCAATAATCGATTAATCACGACTAATCTGATTAATTGTTTCAGTCCTACTTAATTGTATCACTTAAATTAGACCCCAGCCTGAAGCTCCCACAATATATCCCAATCTGAGCCGAGCTGTTTAAGGGCAGATGTAACCTGAGTCACTTGTCGAGTCGGTGGATGTGGGATCAG